AATTGGGTCCTATTTAAGCGAAGATGTCATAGAAAATTGGTCCACCAGGATACACCACCTACGGCGGAGCCGCGATGGCCATTTGGCTGAAATTATATTCCATGCATAATGTTATCGAATACCCTTTAAAATATGTATGTATGTATTATGTAAGGTATTGATTTATTATGTGCATGTAGGTACCTAGTCTTGCCATAAATACTGAGACAAAGGAAAAAAAAATCTATTGCTATTAACATTTATTACTTTTACAGTGTGTTAGTTTAATACATAAATATAAAATAATTTATAGTATAAAAAGCTTATTCGAAGTGGTCTCCATTGGCTGCAATACAGTCCTTTAAACGTTGAGGCTAGTTATCAATAGAAGCACGCACTCTTTCCATGGGAAAATTTTTCACTGCCAATCGTACGGATTGTTTTAGGGACTCCAAAATATATATATAAAATACGCGACATGGTTCTAGGTGCTATCTTCATCTCCCGAGATAAAATCTTTTGCTTTCGGACAGGATTTCTTCGAATTCTTTCCCTTACTGCATTGACCACCTTTTTCGTATCAACACTACGTGGACGGCCAGATCTTTTTCTGTCACAAACAGAGGAGGTCTCACTGCACCTATTAATAGCCCGGTACTTAAACATTTTACTAATACCAAGCGTATGGAGATTTTTAAATATTGCATTTGGCTCCATACCTACTTTGTGTAATGCAATCACAGCGATTCGGTTCTCTTTATCACCCCACTCCATTTTAATATCGCAAAAAATTGTACAATGTATTGGCGCCAAAATGAGAAAACTCAATGAGCAATCATATAAAAATAATAGATTCCAAATTCAAATGTAATATTTTGTTTTTTTTAATTGTAACAGTATTTAAGGTCAGACTAAGTATATTGGTACATAAATCTTAAAGTGATTTCATATTATATGTGTATGTAAACGGTATAACTACTTATTGTCTATGTTTTCTTTAATAATGTATTATTAATAGTACACTGCAATATAGCTGCTGTATCTTTATCTTTTCAGAATTTCTGTAAATAAAGCGGTTTTCTGAAAGAGATCGCTTTTAGCGAAAATACCGCCTATTATACAACTATATTCTGCATGCTGACTGTTTTTTTTTGTTAATTGTGTTTTGGTGTGTAATAAGGTATAAAGTATAAGGTCTGTCTCTCTCTCTCTCTAAGGTACACTTAAGTAACTTAAAAGTAGGTGGGCCACAAACTTCCAAAAAAAAAACTACAATTTCAATGCCACACAACTTAGAAATACCACTTAGTAGAGTTTTGTTAGTTTAAATAGAGTGTAAGGGATACAGGATCCTCTTCGGAAACGAATAATATAATATGTAGGTAAATAGCGATCTTAAATATACATTTTCATATATAAGCGCACGCAAGCGCATGCAAAACAAAAAAAAAACCTTATTAAGTTATTTTTATTCCTTTTAACTAAATCTACTACAGCTATAGACAGACGGATGATAGGGATGCGGTATTAGTAGTTGGAGGACGCGGCATATCCTCGTTACTTCTCATTAAAAGCGGACCGAATATTTATTCTTAACATAAAATTCCCGGGTAATGTTCATATTTCGTGCGCGTTTCAATAACAATACTGACCCGTGATGTAACCCGCGTTACCGAATTTCTCGAACTATTAATTCAACAATCTTATTCGCTAATACGGTAACCACCGCCCCGCCTATTTTACTGGTGGCAGGACCTCTTGTGAGTCCGCACGGGTAGGTACCACCGCCCCGCCTATTTCTGCCGTGAAGCAGTAATGCGTTTCGGTTTGAAGGGTGGGGCAGCCGTTGTGACTATACTGAGACCTTAGAACTATATCTCAAGGTGTGTGGCGCATTTACGTTGTAGATGTCTATGGGCTCCAGTAATCACTTAACACCAGGTGGGCTGTGAGCTCGTGCACACATCTAGGCAATAAAAAAAAATAATTGTCGATCACATATTTATTTAGTTTTATTTTTAGTACAATAAAATGGTACGTGTCATGTTAATGATTTTTTACGTTTAACAACACAAATTTGAATAAACTACCTATCACTGGACATAAAATAAAATAAATAATAATATACTAGATGCTAGGAGACCGCTTCCGAAAACGAAGACAGATGATAGTAGGACAGTAATTTGAGGATAGGACGGAAAAAAATCGATCCGGATTTAAAAAAAAAACCATATTTTAAAAACGTTTTATTAGCACTATTTACGCTCCACCGTGTTAGTACAGCTAAATGAAACGATAGTTAAATAAAATAATAACTTTACTTAAAAGAAAAACAGCAATGAAACACAAAATCAAAAACAGCTGATGCTCGGATCAACGAACGCACGGGCGCGGCGCGGCGGCGCGGCCGGGCACAGTCTCGCGCGATCGCACAAATGCTTATTTACAACATTTGTCTAAATAATTCCATCATCAAAAATTATCATTAGTACTATCCTCTGTCTTCGTTTTCGGAAGCGGTCTCCTAACACCCAGTATAATGTGTAGTCTGGGATTTGCTTATACCAGTCTTTCCCAAAGTGGGCGATAGCGTTCCCTTGTGGGCCCCCTTGTAGGCCTAAAGAGGGGCGGTAAGAGACCCGGAATAAAATTGGGGCGTTGTGTAGAGGCTTGAGAGGCAATTTGTTATTTCATCTAGAATGACTGTTAGACATCGACTGAGCTCTCGCTATAGTGGTTTTTAAGTAGGTGAAAATATGCGTTCGCTAAAAAATAATTTATTCTCAAAATGGGCAGTAGACAAAATAAGTTTGGGAGCTCCTGACTTATACGTATAATACTAATCATAAGCATTTGAGGGGTTCGGAAAATAATTCAGCGGTGCTCATAGTTGGTACGCTGCGGTTGCGTTTAAGCTCAAAGCGCACGGCCGGTCATTTTGTCGCTTGGAATTTTAACGCTTGCAATTGAAGAGGTACGATAAGTCCAGATCCGACAGATTGCGGATTCCAATGCAAATTATATGTCCGAAGTCGGACCTACCGAACCAGGCAAACGTACAATATACATCGAAATTAACCACTCGTCTACCGTTATAGAAGCTATGACGCGTTTGAATAATTGATAAGTTTTTAATATATTAAATATTCTATCAAAGTGAAACTGGAATGTACTAGGAATCCAAAGTGAAACTGGAATCCACTAGGATTTTTAAACCCCTTTATATATTTTGGGAATATACGACGAAAGGAAGATCTTCCACCGAGCGGGTGATATTGCTCGGTAGACCGACGGTCCTAACGTTGTTTTTCGGAATTTGTATATATGCGCTTTATCTTGAAAATGTCGTAAGCGAGATTCAGGCATCTGTCAATTATCTTGCGTTGTATGATGGCTACCCGCCACATCACTCCCCTCCGAGACTGGAGATCGTGTCATTTTTAGTTAGCGTTGTCCGTGCTGAGATTAGCTTGCAAGGGCCAGTGCTGCTCGAAGCCTGCGGTGAGTCGTGACTGAGCTTGAATGTTGCGTGCGTGTCGTGCGTAGTCCATGTGATGCAGAGCTGCCACGCCGGAGATGTGTGACCCCAAGCGTTGATGATCCGGTCGTGGGCTGCGATGAACTGTAGTGGCGTGATGAGGCAGTGAAGTTGCGTGCCGTAGGACCAGGAAGCGCGGTGAGTCGGCTGCGATGGTCCTGTTGAGGCTGCGATGCTGGCTTGCTGTGGGACGACTGTCAATGACGTGCTTTTATCTGCGAGAATGCGGGGATTGTGGTAGCCGAAGTTCTTGATGCGCTGATGATGAATCAGAAGGTTGCGTGTTAACATCTCGTCGCAGGTCACCAGTTTGGGAATATACGACGAAAGGAAGATCTTCCACCGAGCGGGTGATATTGCTCGGTAGACCGACGGTCCTAACGTTGTTTTTCGGAACTTGTATATATGAGCTTTATCTTGAAAATGTCGTAAGCGAGATTCAGGCATCTCTCAATTATCTTGCGTTGTATGATGGCTACCCGCCACAATATTAAAGTACGTTAATCGATTAAAATCACAATCATGGTCACAAAATCACTTAATAAAATTATTATTTCGGCCTACGGGATAGCGATTACAAAGTAAATTACAATGATTATCTACAAGGTCATAGATAACAGAATAATATTCTTGTATAAATTTCAAGAATTTGAGTGAATTAAGCAATTCATTTTATTTTCTATGTTTGCAATTAATCATTATGTTACTTGAATACTAATGGCGTACGCTATTTGTTAGAACCTTGAAGAAAACTTAAATTTTAATTTCTATTATGTGGTAAAGTAATTGAATTTTACAATGAGTATGAAAACTACAGAATTACATATAGTGTAAAAACTATTTGGACTTTTGTAAATCTAACTTAAAATTGTATCTTCCGCTATAGTTTAATTACAAAAAAAACTACATTCCTTAATAGTATTTTAATGCTGCTGAATCAGGTAGGGTAAGGTATATTGTACGCCTGTAATTAGCCGGCAAGTTTTTCTTAAAAATCCTACTAACCAAACCGTTCTTCTACGCTGTAAACTGTTGGAAACTTGCTGGAATATTAACCTAGTTCTAGCGCGCGACATTAGCGAGAGATATCGAAACTTGTCGGACCGTCAGGGTCTTATACTGTACAGCCGCGTTAAGTCCGAGCTAATGTGTAGCTAAAAGATAACACAGAAACACGACATTGGTGTATATAAATTAATTAAAACTCATTATCAACTAACGCTCTTCAAATTGTAAACATTAAACGCGATAGCATGCTTAAGGTTTTGTTTACCTCGACTCAGGAGTCCATTTCGCACCGTATATCCTAAATTCTTAAAGGAAATATTTAGGGAATCCTCAACGAGCGATGTCGAGTTCGTTTCTTGGGAATCTGAATTTTCGCTTGCCATTTTTTTTAATTTCACTTATAAATTTAGATATTCCATCACTCGTAAAACGATGCANACAATAAACACGATAGCATGCTTAAGGTTTTGTTTACCTCGACTCAGGAGTCCATTTCGCACCGTATATCCTAAATTCTTAAAGGAAATATTTAGGGAATCCTCAACGAGCGATGTCGAGTTCGTTTCTTGGGAATCTGAATTTTCGCTTGCCATTTTTTTTAATTTCACTTATAAATTTAGATATTCCATCACTCGTAAAACGATGCACAAAGGATACTGTTGTAAACAAAGAATCGTCCGCGATCGCGTCAGTTGCGTAACGCCCAGACGCGCTCGTGCTGGTACTCGGAACACTGTTGAACAGTTCTCTGTAAACGACTTGGCGATGTTGACGATTATCGGTCGTTCCCCCACTCTGCACATGGCGGTCAGCTGAGTGGGCTGATGCCGATACAGTATCGCTAGAGCCTTATAGAAACAGAGCTGCAATTGTCGAAATACAACAATGTCGCGTTATCATAAAGGATCATTAATTATACGATTAAACTACAAAAGATCTAGACGATGTGTAGCAACGTTGATAGTACGTTGAATGATAAGGAAATGTAGTAGGTACACAAAAAATGATGTTCCTTTAGAAGGAATGGAGTAAGTAATCGAGTATAGTGACGATGTTGTTAGGAGTGACGTCAGAAAAACGTATCCTAAAACAGACAATATTTGCTTTGTTTTTTATAATGAGAAATGAATAAACAGATGAATAGACTCACGGTTCAGCTAATGTTATGCCGCTAGTAGAACAGTGTCTTGAACGCCTGATAACACGATGTCGTCGTGTTATAACGATTATCAATTGCTTTAGAATAACTGCTCCTATATTTTCTTTAAGCCGGGATGTATTATTGGTATTTAGCAGAAACAAACAGGATTCTTAAGTTAAAATTATATCCCAATTACAAGATGTAATAAATAATTACTGGTGGTAGGACCTCTTGTGATTACTGGTGGTAGGACCTCTTGTGAGTCCGCACGGGTAGGTATCACCACCCTGCCTATTTCTGTCGTGAAGCAGTAATGCGTTTCGATTTGAAGGGTGGGGCAGCCGTTGTAACTATACTTGAGACGTTAGAACTTATATCTCAAGGTGGGTGGCGCATTTACGTCGTAGATGTCTATGGGCTCCAGAACCACTTAACACCAGGTGGGCTGTGAGCTCGTCCACCCATCTAAGCAATAAAAAAAAATCCGTGAATTAGAATTTTCGGAACGGCTTTCATTTCTTTCTATACACGGTTTTTAAATAAATTTCTTTTGTAAGAACGGTTTGATGCGTAATAATTTTAATCCAGTTGATATGATCACTTTTTTATTCACTACCTTACACACAATCATACCAACGGGTGCCTAGATGACCGGCAAAAGACAGAACAAGGATGCGCATTACATGATCAATAGTCACTTAAACTCACCCTATCCTCTTTTGATACTGTTTGAGCTCTTTGTTTCTAAAAGATCAGTCGACCCGGCAGACCTCGTAGTGCATCAATCGATAAATAAAATACCTAAGCTTTTGTACCTATAATATAAACTTAAAACAAACAAAAGAAATCCGTCCGACGGGGGACACATCAAAGGAAAAACAAAACTGTTATTTTTATTTAATTCCGAGCATTTTCACATTTATGTAACCTTTTAAACCTTATCGGGACTTCCACAAATAATTCAAGACCAAAATTAGCCAAGTCGGTCCAGCCGTTCTCGAGTTATAGCGAGACTAATGAACAGCAATTCATTTTTATATATATAGATAGATAGATAGATAACGTGAGAATAATTGGCCAACTTAGTGATATGCCACATAGAAAATTGATTAGTAAAACACCTTTAATTTTTCCACCATTTTAATGCAGTAAAAAAAAAAGAATTCCAATATAGTCAGGACAGGAAAAATTTATAAGATTAGATTAACATGCATGGTTCGACATTATTCTATATTCGAGTTTCACTGGAGGTAACTTTGTTCATACTTTATTTCACTTTTATTATATAGTTTTATCTAACTTTGGATTTTATATCTATGATCTCTTATCAATACTCATACACATTTTACTACAATACATAAAGCTGTCTAGTTTTGCTATAATTAAGCTATTTCAGTTACATAATTTAACAAACCGTTCGTTTTTATATAAAACACATATACTAAGTGTTATTAAAAACTAACAATTAAACTTATTACCTATACCGACCTGTGCTTTACCAATAAACAATAATAAGTATGAATACAATTTTAAAGAGACTTTCTCACGTCTTCGAGTACTTACTCATACAACAAAAATAAAAAGTGTCGTGACAACTTTTCGTAAGAATTTTTTCCGTCTAACCCTCTTTCACAACGCGCGATAAGGAACTTCGTTCCAAAAATTTGAAAGACTGCGTGTCTGTAGCCCGTACTGTGAAAAAACCGGGAGATTTGTATCCTCACGATTTAAGCTTTATAAGAACTAAACGATATCGATGGTCTAAACTGTACAAGTAATGCGAATAAAATTCTTAGCGTTTTACGATACCTTCGTGCAATTTAAACCTAAGGTGCACACTTTATATTCGTGTAGCTGAACTTGTGATTTCATAATTCCAAAGATACATTATTATTTTTAAATCACGCTCAAAATGCAGCAGAACTGAGTTTTTACTGGTGTTTTGTAATATATCTTCAAGATTTGTAAATATGATTAAAAACACTTTTAAGGTTTAATGGCTTGTTTATTTTCTATGTATATTTTACAGTAATTAAATTTTCGTCTGACCAGTCACTCGCTACAGTGTCTCATGATCACACAGGACTATACGGTCGTACAATAATCTATAAACAAGCGTGTTTAAAACGTCCATAGCTTACTCTTATCGAGATTATGTCGGTGTTGAAATCCTCTGCTACATAAATGCGCACCAAACTTCGTTTTTGACTTTTAGAATAAAATTAAACATGCACTTTCATTGATTTGTCCAATTCCTAGTGGTAGGACCGCACATTACCATCACCCTAGTTGTTTTCGCCGCGAAGTTGTCATTTGTTCCGATTCCAAGGGCATTTCGAAAGGTACACAATATAATGAGTTATGTCCTCATGTCTCTGTTCGCCACTATACAAGAGCTGGCTTATAAGCGTGTTCGTCGAACGCAAAAAAAACCGTAAAAGTATTTTATTCCAATTAGTTCTTTTAATATTAACTCTAGGTTTCCGCGCGAATACATTTTGCGTTACGGTAAACGATGTACGACTGTTTACGGAGCAAAACATTCGCCCGATTAAATTTGCTCCTCGTCAAAGTATCGAATCGTAAAATTATAAACACGTGCACACATTACGTAAATGATTGCATGTTACACAGTCGAGGAACGAAAGCTGGGCAATGTTTTTCGACAGTACGGGCTAACGCAAAAATACACACTTTTTTTTTTTTTATATTATCGTATCCGTTATTAATTCGGCTTATTTTAGTCAAGAGCTGATTGTCATATTAAACTAAATTATTTGAAGTTCCATATGTTTCTAAACTAGTCAAACGCAAATTGTAATTTTTCGATTCGTTACAAAAGTTTAATTTCTTAATAATAATTATTATAGACGGTGAATAGATCCTTTTTTTCTTTATTTCTTAATAAGGATTGAACTTTTGAAATACCGTATAAAAACAAAATGATAATACTTTTTCTACATTTAAAATTACATTATCTAGCACTTCGGTACATCACAGTTTAAAAATATTCAGAATTTCACTGTCTTTTATTTGTATTTCATTTCACTGCACCCCCGTTTTTCACGTGGATGTTAACAATATCAAAAACAAGAAACGTATTCTCCCTTGTACATTGTGTTCTTGTGTGTACATTAAAATAGTGATAATTGTTACACGATACTCGTTTCATTCAATAAGACATTTAATAACATTTTATGATCATAACGCCGAGGGTGAAAGACTATTTGATATATGTGACATTTTTGCAGTCTTTACAGCATTGTCATTTAAAGGTAATTTAATTGGAAAAAAATACCATAACAAAAAAACTTCTTAAGCTATTTTAATGGGGAAAACTTAGTTGAAGTTCAATCAAAAACATCAAAGTGTTGATATTGATACCAAATCAAACGGACCTTTTATTACAGATATAAATGTCACGTATTAAGCGGAATGTCGCTTAAACCAAAATACCTTTCACCCCTCGAACGGGCGGCACCTTGGACTGCAGCTTTTCTCCCAAAATAAACTCATTTAAAGTTCAATTCAATCATTGCATTCGGGTCAAAAGCATTCACGATGGATGATGATGTTGATGGGCTTCGATGATCTTTTAACACCATTTATGCCGTAATCTTGATCAAACATACATATTCATTTACATACATATTTTTGGTGGTGGTAGGACCTCTTGTGAGTCCGCACGGGTACCTGCTTATTCCTGCCGTAAAGCAGCAATGCGTTTCGGCTTGAAGGGTGCGGCAGCCGTTGTAACTATACTGAGATCTTCAAACTCATATCTCAAGGGGGGTGGCGGCATTTATGTTGTAGATGTCTGTGGGCTCCAGTAACCATTTAACACCAGATGCCTGTGTTGTGTGAGCTCGTCCACCAATCTATGCAATAAAAGTAATAAAAATAATTAAAAATAAACATTTTGCTTCATGCAATCTATCTTAAGTCTACCATCTTCCAATCATAAGACCTATCTACTATTTTGACTCAGCAAACACATAAAATAAAGAAAAACCTACAAGCCTTCTTTACCACAAATATGTATGCCTCTTCCTATTAGATTAAAGGCCAACAATGATTTTGATAGCTGTTTTCAACATAAATATTAGCTAATTTAAAAACTTGTCTGAATTGTCATTATGACATTTAATAAGTGCCTACTCTAATTAGGAAGATAAGATAAGAACCATATTCCAANCAGCAAACACATAAAATAAAGAAAAACCTACAAGCCTTCTTTACCACAAATATGTATGCCTCTTCCTATTAGATTAAAGGCCAACAATGATTTTGATAGCTGTTTTCAACATAAATATTAGCTAATTTAAAAACTTGTCTGAATTGTCATTATGACATTTAATAAGTGCCTACTCTAATTAGGAAGATAAGATAAGAACCATATTCCAATGCACGTACAGACCTTAGATACAAGCATATCGCTTAGTTTGGGATACACTGATACCTACTTAGCTAGTGACATTGGAAAATAGTAACAATAATAATTTTTAATAAATTTTTATTTTAAATTAAAATAACATTAGTAACTAATACGTTTTACTTTTTGTTCCTGTACTGTTGTAGTTAAAACTGATAATAGAGTAAGTAGGAAATAGATTAATTTCGTTCTATATCTACTCGGCTATGGGAGGGCTCTGGCTTGGGTATTTAATAAGACTTTGTACAAAACTTTTATAGCCACAAATTATAATAAGATGTATTGAGTGACAAGTAAATTGATTTAAATTATAGCGTGGTCTGCACGAATTTGCGGAGTTATTTTAAACTTTATAATATGAAGTTTCTCTTGCAGGAAGGAACAAGGTCTAACAAAAAATCATGTTCAATCGAGATTTAGGCAACATTTTTGTGGAGTTCGTTTTACTTTTATTATTTACATTCATTGCGGATTCGGAGCAAGGTTGGTTTGATAATAACGACAGACACTTATTTTCAAAGTTTTTTTTTTTTTTTTTCGAATTCCGTAACACTTTGATGATTTTCATTAGAGCATTTATTATTACATATTTAATAGTGTAGTTAAAATGATATTTTCATGGCGGAATTTGCTAGTCTGACGTGTGTGTGAATAATTAGGTTGTCAGAAATATAAGTCCAAAAACAACAGATGATAATGTATTTAGTGAACTAGTACTCACTTTTGAAACCGAATGTAAAGATAGAGTTATTCACTGTTTATCACTTTACCACTTAAGTTTACCACTTTAGGTAAATCGAGTATTGTATTTAATTAATCTAACATAATATAGATGTTCAACAGATTTATGTAAATCCAATTCGTTTAGTTTGATTTAAAATTAGATTATTAAGTTATTAAAAATTACTGATAAATAATTTTAGGGTATACCATCAGTCCGAAGATTCATTGATTTGATAAACTAAATGACCATAAAACGAGTATCGTGTTAACAAACAGTAGGCATTAGGAATAAATAAATTTTAGAGTGTTCAAGACTACACAGTTATTATTCATAAAATTCTTAAACTAATAGAAATACTGAGTCAAAACATTTTTTGGGTCGTTGACCCATCGTCCTTGTAATAAAGTATTATAATATTCACGATCTCAACTCAGGCAAGACTGGCGATTTTTGAATAAATTATTCATACATAATTATTTTATTTATAATAAAGCTCAACATAAAATAAAATTAAATAAAATTCGGCATTTTCATTGACATGTCATAAGATTATTAACTTAAATATCTACAAAGTATAAAAGATCCAGTTACGAATAGTTTTTAGATTAAACTTTATAAATAATTCGTATTTTTGTATTATGAATTTGCGAAAAAGTATTTGCATTGAAATAAAAGTCTTAAAGGCGGATATTCGACTGAACTAAATATGAGCTGTTACATTTTTTCGGAACGATGTAATTGAATTCTTTGGAATTACATCGTGACAACATTTCAATGTACTTACAAATTAAGATGGAAATTAATTCAAACTACCCACCTGACGTAATTTGCTGCTTCGTGGAGACGGCATCGTAAATATTATTGAATCCGACGTAAGCAGTTCAGAAAAAACAGTCTCTCCTCATTACGGACGCTTAATTGAGTAAAAGTGTAGTTAATAACAAAAAGTCTTCAATTAAAGACAATAGTCGTCGTATCCTCGTTTAAGGTTGGAGATCATTATTTGTTCATTAAATATAGAAGAATTATTATTGTATTTTTTACATAATAACGATACTCTCCACTCACAGATTTTACTTCACTGCCTAATTAAAGTAATATAGTCTTAATTCGTGGGAGTTCTATGCTGTATAGCGCAATTCACGAAAATTAAACCCTAATAGTTATATTGACCCTTCTTACTATTTTAATATTTTAATTGTAATTATTGGTATGGGCTAAAACTTAAGAAATATTGAGTGTATCCGTGAGTGTACTATGCGTACCCAGCGGGCCGGTAAGAACCACTGGTTTGGCGTTGTCAAAAACTTGGTCTACGACATTTTTAATATGGCGCTCTTTTTTTTTCTTAATGAAATATGTCATCGTTTATTAAGTCTGTACCAAAGAGCAGCGCACGTTAATAAATGCATTAACACTGTAGTTAATATAACTATAGTCATGTTTCCACCGATGTCCACCTCTTCCATGTCCATTTGTTTTAAGAAGGTCTTTGGCGTTACGAATTGACAATATACTGAAAATAAATAAAAATTTTAAAGTATCAAAATTGTATTGGAGTTTTGATTTCAAACAAAAGCTCGAGAAGAACAGTTTTTAGAAGAATCTACTTTACTGGAAGGCGTTTCGGTGCCATCGTGGTTACCAAGCTTCCCTTAAAGTTTGGTAACCACTTACACAGTTAAATTGGCGTCAAGATAAATATTTTAATATTAACGGAAGGCAATATTTATTTGCCAACTGACTATTAACAAGTATCGTTCAAGTAAATGTATCTCTAAATCTTTAGTGGACCAGAAAAATAAAGTCTCCAAATTTTTGGGGCTAAATAACTGCCTCACTTGGAAGTGCATAAATGCGCCCGTGTCCGCACGTGTCTTACTTACTTTGAAAGAATTCATAAATGATACTTTTTCAGTTATCGCACAGTACGTATTGTATTCTACGATAATCGCATTTCCATCTGCGATGGACACGAAAACATGCTATAAAAATGCCATTTAATTGAATTACTTACGTTTAGAGCATTGAAGTTTTTTTCGATTAAAACCGTAAACGGAGTAAACAGCGACATGAAAGCCGGCTCTGAAGTACGAGATGTAGTGGAGCCAGCGGAAGTAGCGTGGCGTGTCAGATAGTGCGAGACAGAATCCGAATACTGAAAACAGACACGCCAGCACTGGTCCTATGAACACTGCGATCTAGATGAAAATTTGTTTATGTTAGATTATTTAATAATTAACAAATTCTATGTGACGATTTTCTCACATACATAGAGTAAAAATGTAATATTGTGTATTGTAAGTGATAGTTTGTTATGGGAGGGTAAACCGCTTTGTTACGTAACGCGTTACGCGTTACGGCGCCAGTCTGTCTGACTTCTCTTTCTCTCACGCATACGGCAGCGGTACTGAGAGCGTATGTAGTAAGTCCTAACTATTTATATATCTTTTTCAATTTATGTTACTATTTTCAATATTACATAAGTAATAACTTAAGCTTTTCCCAAGTTAATTTCAATTTTAAATAATTCAACTTAGATTAGTTTAAGTATCATTTCTGTCGGGGGTCTTAGACGCACATTTTTTTCCCATTCGTATTAATTCCATTTATCTGTCGCCCAATATGATAAGATTCTAAGAATTATTCAACTTAAATCTCCCGTCTCATTTCGGTTACGAGTACCAGGCCTGTCGTAAGGCCGCATGAGATGCTCGGTGATGCTGGCATACCCCTCTAAGGCCTAGCTAAGGTAGGGGAAGAAAAAAACTTTAGTTAATTAATATCGGTAAATACCTTTGTGGGTGTTGTCGAACCGATGAAATATCCCCAGGCTTGTGCGCATAAAGACGTGGCTACGATTGTGGCCAAGAACAACGTTGCTCGCGTCGGCTCCAACGGGTTGTCGGTCAACCAATACGATAGAACGACATAGGACACGCAGGATATCATCTGAATTAGAAGGTGTGGTTCAAGACATTGATTTTATTTTCCTTACACTTTTACGTGGTAAGGGTTCTTTTTGTTTTTAGCATAAAGCTGTTTTGTTTATCGTAGCACTCATAGATAATATTGACTGCATAAGGTTGATTTTTCTTTTCTTCAAACAGGCTGAAGGGCAACACAGTCGTGTCTACAGGTTTTGAGTAAGTCATCATAGCCGCACGCGTAGGTACCTACCCTGCCTATTCTGCCACTTACTAGTTGTATGTTCCGCTTCGAAAATGTGGACAAGCATTAATACCATTTAGAATTTGACTTCATGTTTCAAGGTAAGTAGTTTTTTTTATTAAATTTTAATGCCCTTTTAGGTAGAGACTATACGACCCACTTGTCGGCGAGTGGTTACCGTCGCCCATGGACTTCAGCAATGCCAGGGGCACAGACAAGCCGCTGCCTACCGTTAAGTACTCTCTACAAGCCTCGTTTGAAGAAGGATATGTCACGGTGCTCGGGAAACACCGTGGAGGGGAGCTCATTATAAAGCTGAATGGTACGTGGCAAAAATATCTGTGGAAACGCACTGTGGATGAACGCACTGGCTCCAGGTAGTATGAATGAACTTTTTTTATTTATTGCCCTTGTAGGCAGACGAGCATACGGCCCACCTGATGGTGAGTGGTTACCGTCGCCTATGGACCTCAGCAATGCCAGGGGTAGAGCCAGGCCGCTGCCTAAAACTGAACTGATGTGAAATGTGTGATGTGATCAGTAAACACCAGTGTTGGCTCACAATATGCCCTATCACAAGTGAATATCCGATTAGCGGTGCCTTTCATAATACCTAAAGAACTTATGGGACCGTGCTGTTTTAAACTGAGACCAAAAAGCCTTTTTCTTCTCACATTAGTATCGCGTTTAACGTTTTTCAGTATCATTGCTAATTTGAACTGACAGGAACTTAGTTGTACAAATTATATTCGTTCTTCAGTGAATATAGAGATTTCGATGCGCCATAAATTACGTATTTTACGTTTTACTTGCGTCGTAAATTACGTGTTAAGTAGTTACCGGAGCCCATAGACATCTACAACGTAAATGCCGCCACCTACCTTGAGATAAGAGTTCTAAGGTCTCAGTATAAATACAACGGCTGCCCCACCCTTCAAACCGAAACGCATTACTGCTTCACGGCAGAAATAGGCAGGGTGGTGGTACCTACCCATGCGGACTGACAAGAGGTCCTGCCAGCGACTAGACCCAGTCCAACCCGAACGACGTTCATTTCGAATTATAATTCCAAAAAAGTGCTCTTTTTATCTTTAACTTAAATTTTTTGTTATGAAATATGTCGAATATTACTTAGTATTTTATTTTAGATTTATGCTTAAATATGAAGCTCTTACTTGAAATGGTAGTTCGACTGCTAATATGGAAAATATATACGGCGCCAGGTTATACCATCGATTGAAGTATTCGCCTTTGAGTATTTCCATTTCTAAGGGAACTGAAAAATAAATAATTTAATTATCAAATGCAGTTATAACTCTTATTTATTATTGTATATTTCATTACACTACATGGCTATATCAAATCACTGGCCTATCTGAAGTTGGAATGTTGCGGGAGCTCATAGATGTGCCAAATAAATTTCGCCACTCAGTTCAAGACATAAGGTCGATGACATAAGAATAATAGCAATACCACAGATTCGTAGCAGAAATAGACGTGATGTTCGTATCCGTCCGATACAACTAAACATAAATAACTCAATTATAACTTTAAAACGGACATTTATAATATGATTAAATATTAAACTCATTAATTAACGTTAAATTGCTAAATGAATGTAAAAGACTTTTGAAAATGAATTACAAAAAAATTAAATGCTTATTGAATATTATAGTTTATTTTGATAAAAAAATCACGGTTACTCGATTTGTAATTTTTAAATAGTGCTCAAGAGAAAAAAACATCTTTCAGTTTTTTAGATTAAAATATAAAGATCATGTCGGAAATTTTGAAAAAGGAAAAGCAGATTTTTAAATCATTACTCTTTATTTCTAGTTTAACAAACACGTTCGCGTGAAATACTCACATGATAATGTAACGGACATTTTTCCAGTGTACACGGTTAGCAACATCGATCCATACAGATATACATAGTTCCCTAGTACTGAACTAGCTTCGCCGCCGACTCCGGAGTAAAGATATCCAAATATTAAAGCGATAACAACGTGAGCAGCAACCCGGTACATGAATAGAGCCTGAAAATAAATTAAATAATTTACCTTTTTATATCATCTAAAAATTATAAAAAAAAATTTATTAAAAATGTAGCTTTTTTAAATTTTCTTAAAACATTACAATTGGTACTTTTTATGTAAATTAATCACACACTCGCAATTTACAATTAACGGTGATGATCATAGAGAATTGCAATCTCTGTCTTCGAAGTTGATTACAGCATGTGTCAATGGCATAGATTTACTTACATTTATATACCAGAGGTTCTAAGTCCTGGACTAATCCAGGTAGGTAAATGAAGGGTGGTCATGAGCGAAATCAACTATAAACAAATGATATTGTTTCATAAAATCAAATTTGTTGTACGTCAAGTATGAAAATCTATCGACTTCGTAATGTAAATGTATCAAATCCTCGATACGAAAACGGATCATTACTAATTGTAGTACATTATTAATTGTAGTACTCGATAGCCTTTCGCGATTTATGTTACCGTATGTCAAAAAATATTTGTGCTCTCCATTATGAGTATAAGTTTCGGGTTTCGATAACATGATGATTTAATTGCGAAACGAATGTAAGTAAATTTATTCGTGCTGCTGAAATTATGTTTAAATCCTATACATCAGCCCACTGATTTCTCGCCGGATCTTCTCAGTGGGTCGCGTTTCCGATCCGGTGGTAGATAGTTGCTAGGGCCAGTGTTAGCAACACCTCCGGTTTGAGCCCCGAGAGCTCACCTACACGCAAGGGTTACGCTGATATAGCCTCTCAAGGCTATCAGCATAGGTAGGGAAAATAAAACATGTACATTTTTTCTCGATAGCGATACAAATACTTATTCAATAATTATTCGTTCTCGCCCCTCAGGCTATGTTTATTGCTACTGTTCGTAAGGCGGAGTGCTGTTTGCACCACCCTAGGTGGAACAGCTCTTGTTATAAATCAATTAAAATTTCGACCGCACACAGCGAATTTATCAAGCCGGTTTGCCCATCTTATCAATAGCAAAAAGGCTTAAAGGAATTAACATTGTTGTTTAACTATTGGCTTTTTTTATCAGTAGTACTACATTACTAATTTATAATTAAAAGATAAAGTACGCAGCACTCTCACGTAACATTTGAAAATTTCGCCATTCGTAATAAAAAAATTCTCCTTGTGTACTCTACTGTCTATAATTGATATATTGCACGCAATGCAACACAAACTTACGTAAGGGCAATGATATCTTAAGTGGCGGTTTTGAGCGAGCGGCGTGCCTATGCTATTACGGTTTCACTCACGATGGACTTCCTTAATGTAGGAGCTTTAATTATTTAGGCAGAGCTTATAAAATAAATATGGGTTTTCGTTGTTAAACTAGCACGTTAATGTCGTTTCCGAAATATAACTCTGTATCGAAATATACTCTGTGCTCACACACACGGTCTACGCGGGCCTTAAACGACTGAATTAAAAAAATAAAACGTTAAAATCTACAACATACATAATTTCTTGTAGTAATCAAATAGTTTCTATACAGCAAAATGGCAGTCTGCCGGACCTGCCCTGATGGCTTGTATATGTTCTTTGAGAGTTTACGCATTTTGGGACTCTCTCCGAAATGTTTCGACTTCATTTCAGTACTTATATCTGAAAACAAAAGAAAATCTTATTTTATTTTCAAAATGCCCACGAGATGGTTACCATTAGAGTCTAGCTGTTACATTGTCAAGGTTTCCGGATGGAAATTTAGGATATATAAATAATTGAATGTTACTTAGGAGTAATGAGTTATGTTACGATTGGGTCGAAATTTGCTACTTAATAGCTTATCTTAAGAAAATAGTTTATTTTTATGAATTAAAGTAAAGTCCGGACAGTGGTGGAATTATTTCATTTTAAAGCTATGAGGTTTTATTTGTTAGTGAGTTTTGAATGTATAATGTCCTAAATTCTTTAGAAAGATTCTTTATGATGTAAACTTTTTGGATAATTCTCAAGGTTAGATTTACAGAATTGATAATGAACTGGTTTTATAATGTGACGTTCTAGCAAATTTCTTTAAATTAATCTAGCGTATTTTCATTCACACAATTAAAATTACAATGATAAAGAATATTAAAATTACAATAAATGAGTCGTCTATTATCAAAGGTGGCAATCTGTGCATTTGGACAAAAAAATATTATTGATATGTCAATACAGATTGATTTGAATATAATCGTCTCCTTCAAAGAATACGCTCCAAAACCTGCATTAAATAAAGGTTAATAGTTAACCTGTTATTTATCTAAGATGTCGTTCCGAAGAGTTTTGTGACTACCAATGGAATATAAAGTCAATAATTCGTTTTTCTGATTTACCAATAATTATCCAAAAGTCAGATTGCCGGCTTTGATAATAGTCGACTCAAATGGTTTTCTTGTCACGCTAAAAACAGTTTTAGGTAACGATTGAATATTGAACATTCAAATACATATGTGTTGTAATGAAAAACAATGTACTATACAATAAACAAAACAAAACAAAACAAACAAACACAATAAAGGTTTTGTTGTATAAAAAAAGTTTGCGTTGTACAAAAAATTCGAAGGACGCAAAACCATTAAATATTCCTACAAGTACAAGATCACGACTCACGATTTACGATTTTACAATAACTTAACCTTGCTTTAGTTAAGACAGAAGGTCGAAACTTTGGGTACATAATCCATTAAACGGCCGTCTTGTGTAGTGGTAAGTGACATGGTCATTACACTAGGGGGTCGCGGGTTCGAATCCCGCAAAGGGAAGATATTTGTATGATAAATATAAATGTCTTTTCCAGCGTTATGGATGTATATTCAATATATGTATGTGTATAATAAAAATCTTACATTTATTTCCGTTATCTGGTACCTGTAACACAAGTTCTTTACGAACTTATCACGGGACCAGTTAACGTGGCGTGATTGTTAGTAAAATATTTATATTATATTATATTATATTATATTATATTATATTATATATATATTATATATTCATTTAAAAACCCACCCAGAGCGACATTAGATATTATTCGAAATTTTTAATAGCCCCTATTTTATATGTACAAATAAATTAGATGCGTAACTAAACTTACCTAAAGAAGAAGGCAGTGCTGGTATGGTTGGAATCTCTACCCAGCTGCCATTGACAGCGTCGTCTGTTTTGAATTGACTCATCTTCTTTGCCACCTTTATAAGGTCTACGTCGTATTCACCGGACGCAACTTCCATTACTGTAAATTGAATGCCTGTATTATGCCAAGGACCACGGCTCGCCGGCATTTAAAGCAGTAAAAAAAATTTGTAGTTTTAAAATTATAGGGATGCACTTAGTTCATCTACAGCGTAAATGCGCCACCCACCTTGAGATATAAGTTCTAAGATCTCAGTGTAGTTACAACGGCTGCCTTACCCTTGAAACCGAAACGAATTACAGCTTCACGGGAGAAATAGGCAGGGCGGTGATACCTACCCGAGCGGACTCACAAGAGGTCCTACCACCAGTAAAAATTATTATTATAATTTTTTTTTTTTTTTTTATTTCGAGCCATTCTTCAGAGTATTCCTTATGTATAATATATTTTTTTACATAATATAAACATCCACATCGAACAGTATAACGGTACAGTTAAAATAATTAAGTAGATTTATCCTATTTACCCTTGTTTTTTACGAGTTGTTGATTCATTATGTATTACGCATGTTCGTAGCGTGTGATCATGAATTTTATGCGCGAAACATTATTTCAAAACTGATAAAAATATATAGCACATGAAAAGTTATTAATCAAAACTGAACCTTACTGATTAATATTCCTTGATGTGTTTATAATATTAATGGTAATTTCCATAGTCGGACAATATATGATGTGTCATTATTCATTTCAGATTTACTGTTATATTTTTATTAAGGAATTTTACTGTTAACGTGACTGTTATTCTAAATTAATAAGATCTCTTCAGTCAACTAGCGTTGATTGAATCGAAGGTCATTGCCGCAATACGTTTCCAAGTTTGTAATTATAATAGATTTTAACAGATTGCTCTATGTATTGGTATCGTGTAGCCCGACTATGCCGGTGTTCCATTTAGGCATCAATTTTTCTAGTGTTCTATGATTCTATTAGTAATAATTGAAGAAAGGCTTATTAAAAGAGGCTTTTTTTTTTTTTTTATAAAAAGTAATTGTGTTTTAGTTAGCATCCCTATTCTAAGGCGAATGCAAGTGTCAATATTTCAATAGTTCTCGAACGATGTGTACACAGCCCACCTGGTGTTAAGTGGTTACTGGAGCCCATGGACATCTACAACGTAAACGCACCACCCACCTTGAGATATAAGTTCTAAAATCTCAGTATAGTTACAACGGCTGCCCTACCCTTCAGACCGAAACGCATTACTGCTTCACGGCAGAAATAGGCAGGGTGGTGGTACCCACCCGCGCGGACTCACAAGAGGTCCTACCACCAGTAATTACGCAAATTATAATTTTGCGGGTTTCATTTTTATTACACGATGTTATTCCTTCACCGTGGAAGTCAATCGTGAACATCTGTCGAGTACGTATTTCATTACAAAAATTGGTACCCGCCTGAGATTCGAACACCGGTGCATCGCTCAACACGAATGCGCCGGACGTCTTATCCGTTAGGCCATGACGACTTCATAGTTGGTACAAACGATAGAACGGTGAAAATTTAATCTGAATGCTGTGTGTTTGGAGGCGCGCCCGCTTTCGCCCAGATTCCGTAAGCGGCTGGCTTACCCGGTTAGCGAATTATGCAATATGACGCGTTCTTGTTTACGCAACTATACGCAGTCATTAATTAGTTGTTCACGGTTATTCCTGTTTATAATTCTAGAAATCACTTATGTTTACAATCCGTGATTAGGATGAGTTACATTATCGGAACATGTTTTTGAAATAGTTACAATTTTTTTCTTTTGTTTGACGGTACACGAAATTCGAAAATTATTTTTTAGTTTAAATTGTTTTTATTTTTTTATTGCTAAGATGGGTGGACGAGCTCACAACCCACCTGATGTTAAGTGGTTACTGGAGCCCATAGACATCTACAATGTAAATGCACCACCCACCTTGAGATATAAGTTCTAAGGTCTCAAGTATAGTTACAACGGCTGCCCCACCCTTCAAACCGAAACGCATTACTGCTTTACGGCAGAAATAGGCAGGGTGGTTGTACCTACCCACGCGGACTCTCAAGACGTCCTACCACCAGTAAAATTAGAAATTATAAAGAAAATCATTATACAAAAGCGTAATGTGATTTATCACAAATAAATTGTTTTGCTGGTATGTATTGTGCGTTTGAGTGTACTTTTGGGAAAATTTTCATCAATGTACCACAGACATAGCAAAACTTAGAATGAAAAAAAGCGTATTGAAATACTTACGAAAATCGGCTGGATTGTGGTATGACGGACATTGTAGACCGGCCCTGGCGAGTGCCGGAACAAGGGCTGCTCTGGGCCCATTGTACAGAGTCCTACCAGCCTCCAGGCAGTACACATTGTCGATCTTCTCGAATATGAGGGCAGAAGGTTGATGAATTGTAGCTATTAGTGTACGACCTCCTCGAGCGAGATTGTTCAGTAAGGTTATCAACGACGCCGATGCAGATGAGTCCAAGCCGCTGTAATTATTGAAACGATTAAAATTTAAATTAGTAAATACATTTGACGTACATTATTAAATATAATTTCAGCAGATATTTCGCAGTTCACACATAATGTAATGGTAATCTTTTTTTTTTTGGATTGAAAGATTACTGGTGGCCTGGAGGCCTTTCCAGTTTTTACCAGGACATGTGGGCGAGTAATGGCTCAGCCAGAAATAATTATAATCGATATCGTACGGCTTGTATGTTAATAAAACAAACCAATCATTTTGTTTTTGTAACGCCTTATCAACTTATGAGCTCATTCAATTTGGACCGAATCAAACTTCATTAAAATTATGATCGACATGTTTCAATCGCATGAAACAGTAGGTCGAGTGCCGTTCTACGCATTAAAGCCAATATAAGTTTAAAAATCTAAATTTTTAATTTTTTTTTATTGATTGCATGGGTGGGCGAGCTTACAGCCCACCTGGTGTTAAGTGGTTACTGGAGCCTATAAAGATCTACGACGTAATTTTTTTTTTTATTGCCCTTGTAGGCTGACGAGCATACGGCCCACCTAATGGTGAGTGGTTATCGTCGCCCATGGACTTCAGCAATGCCAGGGGCAGAGCCAAGCCGCTGCCTATGCGTCATCCACCTTTAGATATAAGTTCTAAGGTCTCAGTATAGTTACAACGGCTGCCCCGCCCTTCAAACCGAAACGCATTACTGCTTCACGGCAGAAATAGGCAGGGCGGTGGTATCTACCCGCGCGGACTCACAAGAGGTCCTACCACCAGTAATTACGCAAATTATAATTTTTAATTATAATCGCAGAAGTCGATTGAATAAACGTTCGCAGCAATAAGATAACGGTGAACAGATAGGCCATTACTGTTGTTCTATGTTTTACTGTTTATAATTCACGTTATTTTGTCCACAGTCACGAAAGACACGCAAGGCCAAACTCATCGAAAAATATCGACACGCTCTAAATGTTCACAGTGTTTCACGATGATACCTACCAATTGAAAATCATTTACATTATATTACGTACTAGCGACCCGCCCTCGCTTCGCTTCGGAAACTGTAATTTATTATTGATTTTTCCACTATTTAATGGATGTTATTACGCATATAAACCTTTCTCTTCAATCACTCTATCTATTAAAAAAACCGCATCAAAATCCGTTGCGTAGTTTTAAAGATTTAAGCATACATAGGGACAGACAGATATAGGGACAGAGAAAGCTACTTTGTTTTATACTATGTATTGATTACGACTGAAATGTTATGAAGAAGATTTGGTTCACAGATAGTTTGAAAAGAAACAAAGCTATTTAACAAAATTCAATTTTGATACAATCAAAAACAATTCTTTTTTTGAGAAATTATTCATTAACTTTTTTTTATTCTAACTTTGTAAGTTGTAGTCTACTGTTTTTATTGAATACCTTTTTATGGAATATTTATGCAAAGCTATTTTCAAAATAGCAATACTAAGTAGTATTATTGTCTCAAGAATCATCAGCTTGCCTTCGCCTTACAATAAAATAAATTATTTTTGGCAACCTGCAATAAATCCACCAAAGTTCGTCTTGAAATTGTTATGTAATAAAAAATCAAATACATACGTAGTAGGCTCATCCAGGAACATGAGGGATGGATCTGAGAGCAATTCTAAAGCTACAGCCAATCTTCTCTTTTGGCCTCCGGACAGGTCACGGCATAGTGTTTCCGCCGCAGCGCTTAAACCCAAAAGAGCTAGAATTTCATAAACCTAGAAAAACAGAGAGACCTATTTCAGAAATTCGAAAGATAGCAGCACAGTTTAATTAAAGCAGAAGGTTAGCTTAGCAGCCTTCTTTGTAAAGCTATGATAACAACGCAAACCTCAAGATCTTTTTAATCCTGTTAAAATCGTTGATTAATAAATATGTGGATCTGAATGTGGGGCAACGAAAGTAAAGCATGAAAGAGAAGTGCATCCGGTAGAGATGCGAATATTGAGATAGGTGTGTGGAGTGACAAGAATGGACAAGATAAGGAATGAGTATATCAGGGGAAGTGTAAAAGCAGTCCCGGTAATTAACAACTTAAAGAGAGGACGATTAACGTGGGATTGACATGTGATGCGTACAGAGAAGATGCATGTGACTAGGAGATGTATGGAAATGGTATTGCAAGGTAGAGGGGGAAGAGGTCGACCGAAGAAGACATGGATGGAGTGTGTGAATGACGATATGAGAGAGAGGAGTGAGTGTTGAGCTGACGGCTGATAGAAGAGGATGGAAGAGAAAAATTAGCTGTGCCGACCCCACCTAGTGGGATAAGTTGAAGAAAAAGAAGAAGGGAATAAATAAACTTTGGTGTAATGATGAAACAATCAAAGTTTCAACCTTTTCGACCGTCCTTTCGATCTTTGAAAAATTTAAATATTACTTCTCAGAATAACATAACAATATGCTAAGCAAATGGGATTTCCAAGAGCTGTTGGTACAGAGTTTAAGTAGTCTCAAGCAAAAAGTTATTACAAAAATGTCAACATTAATCAGCTCCGAATGTATTTGTCAATAGTTTACAAATTGTAATAAGTTGCGTCTTATATTCTACTTAAATTGAATTAATGAAAATTTAAGTTATTTGCATTTTTCGTCATTGTTTTGCCATATAATATACAGAAAAAAAATGCATGACATTTATATTATACATATGATTGAGTTCAAACTCTTGCTGATGGTGGGGCCTATCATATTGTTGAAGTTAAAGAAAATATACATTCCGTTGTGTGTGTCCGTTAAAAGTGTGAGACGACTCTATAGCATAATTGAGACTGCTACCTGATGTCTCAATATGGGTGGCAGCACTCATCTTGTGTGATACCGTGAGCTTTTTCACTGACGTACGTAATTATAAATCTTTGACAATAGTTATTGAGTGAACTAGTTATTTTGGGTGTTTTCGTGATTTACAATGTAACTAAAATAAGTGTACAATTGATAGCGCGTTTTAACAAAACGTTTCAATAAATGCGTTGGTGTATTACATTTAATTAGTACTAGACGATGACACGATTTTTTTAATAACGCCATCTTGTTGTGTCTTTAAAGCAGTAAAAATAGTATTATTATTCGCCAATAGATGTCGGGAATTCATTATCGATAAAGTTGATTATTGAAAATACGAATAAAATAACATTTTCTGAAAATAAATCGTAGCTAGATCGATTTATCGCCCCCGAAATCCCCTTTAAACTAAATTTTATGAAAATCGTTGGAGCCGCTTCCGAGATTATATATGTCGTGTTTAACGACTTTTAGTAATATTAAGACGTTGTTTTGATTATTATTTTAAATGATGAAATGTTGTTTTTATAAATATCACAAAATGTAGGGTAGACTCCGTAACGCCACATTATAAAATGGCGGTACGTGGACAGAGTCGTGGCATTCCGCGGCAGACATTCAGTCCGTATCAGACGGTCCGTCCGTCTCAGTCAGTGAGTGAGTCTCTGGCAGTCAGTCTGTCTGTATGTGGAACGAAACTGTCGGTTTACCCTGTCATTGTGAATTTGTGTGTGTTGAGTTTCAATAATTATTATTCGGAAAGTTTTATTGAACTAAACTGAGTTCAATCGAATACGAGTGATGACCGAAATTACCGCTTAGCCATCCCTGGCGCCACGCGCCGACATATATATATGTATATACAACAATTGCTCGTTTAAAGGTATAAGATTAGTCGTAACAAAGTATGATCTGTGATTAATAATACAATCGCTTTCGAACTCGCATCAGAGCAGACGGAATTTTTATGTTTCAATAAACTATTATAAATGTAGTGCTTAATATTCGTATATGCATTTAATTTAAAATCTATATACAGCTAAGCTTGTGCATTATTTTGCATACAGAATTTCCTAGTTGTTATTATTTTTATTATCATGTTTTATTAATAAAGCAATGCAGGTGTTAATCGGAAGTCTTGAAATGAGTGATGTGAATGAGTTACGTTAAAATATTCCATTACAGAGACAGATAAACAGGTCAAGTAGTAGTCATTAAAATGAGTTATTAAAAAACAAGCATGACTAGAACTAGAATAGGTCTAGATTACGAAGCACTGATCAAAGATCTTTCCAGCACTGTTGCTGTCTGGAGTACAATTTCAAATCCTCGCTATTATTTTCATTCACCTAGTATCTGTTGTATATTATCTCGCTAACAAGGGTAGATAAGGGAAAAAATATGTTGCACTCTATCTGTTGGACCGAAAAAGGTTCCAAACGGTGCATTTATGGTGGTAAATTAGTAGTCAACTTGCAGCCAGGGTGAATAAAGTGAATGTCATTAAAAACGTCTAGAAAATCATATTTTTTTTTTCTACCTAAGCTGATAGCCTTGAGAGGCTATTTCAGCGTAACCTTGTAGGTGAGCTCACGGGGCTCAAACTGGAGTGATGCTAACACTGACCCGAGCAAGAGCAGTGCTTCGCAGAATCTACCACCGGATCGGAACCGCGACCCACTGAGAAGATCCGGCGAGGTACTCAGTGGGCTGTGTCTATGGGTTAATTTGCTCGTCGAGCCCTTCGTCGCAAGCGACGGGTTCGACGAGGACGGTGACCGGTGCTTGTGGTACCTAAAAGCACCGTTAATGAATGGGGAGGATCTGTAATGACGTGCATAAACGGTCATAGCAAAACAATTCTTACCTTTTCCTTTCTTTCATGTCTTGAGAAGTCGGCCAGTTTAAGAGCAGCTGCGAGAGACATTGCTTCGTAGACCGTCAGATACGCCCGTAGGTCATCGTGCTGGCGGATGTATCGTGCACCGCCGCGTCCGCTTGACTGCGAGGCGCAGGTACACGCGCCATTCACGGCTATCTCACCTTTAGCCCCTTGCGTCCTGAAAAACATTGCGGCATCATACTAAGACCGAATAATATAAGGTTTTGTTTCTTAAAACGAAAAGCGGAAAATTTTTCTTTTTCGTCTTAGATATTTTTTATATTTTTTTAATGCTTTGATGGATGGATGAGCTCACAGCCCACCTGGTGCTAAGTGGTTACTGGAGCGCATAGACATCTACGACGTAAATGCGCCACCCACCTTGAGATATAAGTTCTAAGGTCTCAAGTATAGTTACAACGGCTGCCCCACCCTGCAAATCGAAGCGCATTACTGCTTCACGGCAGAAATAGGCAGGGTGGTGGTGGTACCTACACATGCGGACTCACAAGAGGTCCTACCACCAGTGTGATCTTAAGTGAGGGATCGCGTCGTAATGTATTATTGGTATCGGCAGACACACCGTGCCTCACTATTCTGATCATATTTCCCTCGTTTTACAGAGGCCTTGGTATATTGCTGTAATGCTAATGTACATACATATATTGTTGGGAATATCACCCTAACGTTGAATATAAATATGGTTGGTTTTAATAAATCATTGGTGGTAGAGTGTTTTGTAAGCACACACGGGTAGCTAATATTCTACCTATTTTGGCAGTCATGGGTTTCAGTTTAAGGCGTGGGACAGCAGTTCATAATAACAATTGAAATTTCGACTATATGTTTCTATAAGGGTGACGGCATTTACGTTTTAATGAGTATGGGCTTTGGTAACCATTCATCTTATGGGTCATAAGCGCGTTCACGTACTTCTGCATCAAAGGTTCACAAATCGTAGCCAGTCGTGGAAGTCGTCGTGACCTAAGGGATAAGACGTCCGGTGCATTCGTGTTGAGTGATGCACCGGTGTTCGAATCCCAGGCGGGTACCAATTTTTCTAATGAAATACGTACTCAACAAATGTTCACGATTGACTTCCACGGTGAAGGAATAACATCGTATAATAAAAATGAAACCTGTAAAATTATAATTTGCGTAATTACTGTTGGTAGGTCCTCTTGTGAGTCCGCGCGGGTTGGTACCACCGCCCTGCCTATTTCTGCCGTGAAGCAGTAATGCGTTTCGGTTTGAAGGGTGGGGCAGCCGTTGTAACTATACTTGATACCTTAGAACTTATATCTCAAGGTGGGTGCCGCATTTACGTCGTAGATGTCTATGGGCTCCAGTAAACACTTAACACCAGGTGGTCTGTGAGCTCGTCCATCCAACTAGCAATAAAAAAAAAGAATCCATTTGCTATGTAACTAAGCACATTCAGATAGTGTGTAATCGTAACTTTGTCAGTTTATTGTTTCACATTAAAATAAGCATTTAATTAAATAAACAGGTTAATAGGGGCAGTATACAATTTCAATTAAATTAAAACTATATATTATTTCTATCACTGTACATACAATATTACGTTCATTTAGTATTCTAAGATTTACATAATAAAATTGTTTTTATTGNTGTAACTAAACACATTCAGATAGTGTGTAATCGTAACTTTGTCAGTTTATTGTTTCACATTAAAATAAGCATTTAATTAAATAAACAGGTTAATAGGGGCAGTATACAATTTCAATTAAATTAAAACTATATATTATTTCTATCACTGTACATACAATATTACGTTCATTTAGTATTCTAAGATTTACATAATAAAATTGTTTTTATTGGTCTTCGGTGTATTATTCCACATATCGTCGTTGTCAAACAAAAATCTGCTATGTGCACTTTTTGTGATTTTTACTTTTTGACCTTTTCGTATAGTTCACAGCCCTACCTACCGTATAAAAAAAAAATGTTATGTTACTATAGTTTTAATATTTATCTATAGCTTTCATTTGATATAGTTCTTAAAAATTCACCTTCATATAAAATTTTATACGAAAATGTTTTTACTCGTTAATTCAAAATAGAGTTTTTGCACATAGCAGATTTTGGTTTGACAGCGACGATATGAAATGAAATGTAGAAATTCTATAGTTTAATGCTTTATTTATTTTACTGTAATGAAATCAACAGAACAACATCCTTATAATACTCCTAATAATATGGAATAATTCAGACCTCAGAAGGGTTATCTGGATATTTTATCGATAATTCGTCATCGACAATTATTAAACAGTGACGCACAAAATATCGGGCCGCATAAATTATACGGTTGACCGGTTTTATTACTATAATATCAATGCATCGACAACAATGTTTGAATATCTATTACGTTTGGATAGCACGGACTAAAGTAAAACTAGCACAGTCGTTAATATCCACACACAATGACAAATTACAATGCGTTTCAATATTGCTTTGTTCCTCCGGTTTATTGAATTTTATGAGCTGTTTATATGTACATTATATTCGTTTTTCATGTAAACGCCAGCGTAAATTCTACACTTCACAATAAGTGCTTATTTTCATTGGTAAACGGTTCGCATACGTTTTCACATTAGTCGATGGGGCTCCATGCGAGATTTAGTTATTCTGTATAATAAGTTCCGTACGTAGTCTGTCTTCTACCCCACATTGTTCAATACTGACAGATAAAAAAAAATTCTTTCATGGAATTCCTCCGGGTGGTTTATCTATACTAATATTGTAAAGAGGAAATATTTGTTTGTTTGTTTGTATTAAATAGACTCCGAAACTACTGAACCGATTTGAAAAATTCTTTCACTGTTTGGAAGCTACACTATTCCCAAGTGACATAGGCTATAATATTTTTTGAAACAAATTAGGTATCCTTACTAAAACTCCAATAATGTAAACAAAGGTGTAAGAAATTACCTTTTTAAAAAAATACATTAAATTAATATAAAATTAGGTACGTCAAATATCATTGAAATTCTTGTTTTCCCGAGCGGAGCCGGAGCGGGCCGCTAGTCATTCACAACATCGATATAGCTTTTTAATTAGTCATGAATTCCTCTTCGAGCAGTCCACGAATGAATTATATTGACCGAGTTATTTGGTCGGTGAGAATGTGCAATAAAACCATAGGTACTTACGAATACCCGGCGAGTATGTTCAAGAGCGTTGTCTTGCCCGCACCCGACGGACCCATGATGGCAGTTAGCGCTCCTGGCTTGAAGCATCCTGACACTCCCTTCAGGATTTGTCTTTGTTCTGTCAACAATCAGATCCACATATAAATAGGCAAAGTCAAAACATTTAACTAAAATTTTTTCCTCAGCTTGTCGACGGATTTTCTTCGTATTGTTTCGTAGATATTGACGAAACTTATGGCTAAAAAAACCGTTTATTTTTTTGAAAATGTCAATAATGAAACAAATCACAAAATGTAATAGGTAAAATCAATCGAAATTTTGAGGTGTCAGTGTTTATTGGTCGAATGTCGATCATTGAGAGAACTCTATAATAATTAATGTTAGTTAGTTAATTTAATTGATGTTGGGATATATTATTAAATCTATTTATTTATACGTGATCGGATATGCTGTTCCGGTTTGAAGTATGGCTTAATCACGACTCTATAATACTACGCCGGTATATTTCTATTAAAAGATCTATTATTTAGAAAAATCCAGTATGCTATCCTCCTTCGTATGTTTTCTGTCTAGATAGCTTCATCTAATGCCTATCAAGCGTACTTATGGAAGGCCGTAATTTGAGCCTGACCCAGTTAATAACAGCGCTGCATCACACCGTGGTGATTAATTCAACCGTAAATCACGCTATCTGATTTGGAGGGCGTTCTTTCAATGTAATTGAGACTTCAGTGCAGTCATTACTGGTTACTGGTGGTAGGACCTCTTGTGAGTCCGCACGGGTAGGTACCACCGCCCCGCCTATTTCTGCCGTGAAGCAGTAATGCGTTTTGGTTTGAAGGGTGGGGCAGCCGTTGTGACTATACTGAGACCTTAGAACTATATCTCAAGGTGTGTGGCGCATTTACGTTGTAGATGTCTATGGGCTCCAGTAACCACTTAACATCAGGTGGGCTATGAGCTCGTCCACACAGCTAAGCAATAAAAAAATAATAAAAAAAAGTCATCATCAAGATGGGTGGCCGTGTCTTCGTTTTCTTGTGTATCTCTATGTGTTCCGTCCGCCACGAGCTTTTCTGTTGCTTGAAATGGTACGGCTTTAGTGATTTTTACTCTAATATCCGTTTAGCATCAAGTGATATGTAAACTCTTTTGACAGTGGTAAAAAGATAATAAACCAGTCTTCCTGGCAGGACGCATGCAGTTTTTTTTTAAAGAATATTATTAGATTCATAATTTCCAAATATTGTCATTTAGGGTTAGAAATAAACTAAAATGAATACTGAAAATACTTAAGATTATCATGAACGTTAAAATACAATAACTCTCATCTAATAATAAAATCGCAACTGAAAATACTGTGGAGTTAAATTTTCAATCATCAACATTTCAAATACTGGATTCGTCATTGTTTAAATTCCGTGGTTGAAGTTTTTCAAAACAATGGCTGATGTATTATATACCATAGCATCATATACATCACCAAAAACTCTAAACAAGATTGTCCACTGTTTTCAGGATTGTTGAATAACTTTTTATAAATGAAGACAGTATTTGTCACGAGCCAAATGTCCTTGCCTTGTTATTGGTCGTTGTTTAAATTCAATTATAAAACCTACAGTAAATTGAAATACGTAGGAGCTTAAGTTTTAAGTGAATCTTCTAGTGGTCATTATAATTCGAGTCTTCGAATTTAATGATTTATACGTACGACGATACGATTTATATGTACGACCAAAATACCTAGTAAATATGAGTACTATTCTGTGTCTATTTTTCTGTTTAGGTTCAGTCGGTTTCATAATTTTTCTGGTACTCAGATCTAATGTATCTATGTTAGCTCTAGGGCAGAAAGATGCAGGACGTTAATATGAACTTACGCACCTTTGTAACACATGACATATATATGTACTAAGCTTAGATTTAGTGGAAGAGCTACATTAAATAATAAAATAAAGTACTGAAATACTATTCCGAATCATTGATGATTCATTAAGCCACTGTCTACTTTTTTATAATTATTGAGCACTGGTGGTACGTCAGCTTGTTAGTCCGTACGGGTACGTACCACCGCCCTGCCTATTTCTGCCGTGAAGCAGTAATGCGTTTCGGTTTGAAGGGCGGGGCAGCCGTTGTACTGTTAAAAGTGATACCTTACAACTCATGTCTCAAGACGGATGGCGGCTTTTAGGTTGAAGATGTCTATGGGCTCCTGTAATCACTTAACACCTAAGCAATAAAAAATTAGCTGGTGACGTAAACATAAATTGTGAATACTCCAATTTTAAAATGAAGTAGAGTGAATTGCGACGTTGAATTGGTATTGGGCAGAGTAGCATTGCTCGTAGAACGGATGGTCGTTGGAGCTGAAAAGTTCTTGAGTGGCGATCGCGTACCCGAAAACATACCATGGGTAGGCCTCTCACAAAATGGACCGACGACCTATTGAGGTTCGCAGGGATCCGCCGAATGAAAGCTGCGTAGGACCGCTGTTTGTGGCGAGGCTTTGGGGAGACCTATGTCCGGCAGTGGACTGCCTGATAGAATAGAGTGAATTACGTCTAGGGAGTTTCTACGTTTGTAATCATATTGTGCCAAAACTGAATTACTGAAATCTATATATTAATACGTGAAGCAAAACCTTTGTATCCCTTTTTACGAAAATTGCGCGGACGGAGGAGTATGAAATTTCCCACACTAATAGAGAATATAGTGAAGGAGTGCAGAATGGTATTTTTTTTTTTTAATTATGCATTAATAATACATCAAATCAATAAAAAAAACATTACACACACTACCATGTATTTGACACACACGCATATGTATACTCTATGTTTATTGTTAAACTTTGGTGCTTATAGTCTGTGGTCCAATTGAGAATAGATTAAATATTGTTTGTCTTTGTTAATATTTGTCTAAAGTGTACCTATGTGGTCCTAGCGAAATCTGTGAAAAAGTAGAATTCATCAAAGTAGAAGTCTTTGACAATAGAATCATAATAGTGTATATAGAAACTTATAAATTTCAATTAATTATTGTCGAATTTCGACTACCGGGGGACACACTAGTAATAATAAAAATGTCTGAATTACGTTCATTAATTATGTATCTTGATATCGAGTTTGCATTTATCGACGATTTTACATAGACGTCATAAGTTGGCAGTAAAATGATTAAAATTTGTATTTTTATCACGTCTGTGGTTTGGGACGACGCGTCGAGGTCTGTATTATTATGTCGATATTGTAATTTACGGTGCTTCATTGGTGTGCAGCTCAGATTTTTAGACTGTGATCGTGTCATCGGACACGCAGAGCGCCGATTCTCATGTCATAAACAACTCACGTGATTTAGGCCCTTATTACATGACGTCCATAGAATAGAAAATCTTGAAATGATAACATAAGCTTGTGCCAGATTAAGTTTCCGTTTCCTTGATAAATTTAAAATTTACCATCGTTTTTTTTTATTGCTTAGATGGGATGACGAGCTCACAGCCAACCTGGTGTTAAGCGGTTACTGGAGCCCATATACATCTACAACGTAAACGCGCCACCCACCTTGAGATATAAGTTCTAAGGTCTCAGTATAGTTACAACGGCTGCCCCACCCTTCAAACCGAAACGCATTACTGCTTCACGGCGGAAATAGGCAGGGTGGTGGTACCTACCCATGCGCACTTACAAGAGGTCCCACCACCAGTAATGAATGAATGAATAATAATAAATCATCGATACAAATTTTAGGAACACAAAAGTTAAATGTTAAATTTAATTAGTCATTACTGAAAGTTCATAAATTTTACGACATGTATTTTATTACAAACAACGGTTGATTTTAGGTAGTTTTGTAGTTTTTCTTTATTGGAAATATTAGGTGCTTCATTTATTATTAACTTGTTTCTGGCTTTCGAGTTGTACGTCACTGAGCCACTTAGATCTAAGCGGTAAGCAACTATCAGGTGAACGTCAAAAGTGACTTTAAGAACTTCAATCCCTATTCTTCATTACCTTCATACTACTTACTAATAAATATATAAACGTGCGCAACTCACACGTGGTAGAAGTGAATCCTTTAAAAGTATTGGCTTCAAGATAATGAGACGAATGTTAAGTTTTGGGAAGAGGATAATTATTGTAGTAATGATCATAGTGATACAAAGTTTGATAATTACTTTACATTTTATTCGTATATTTTATAAAGATTTATTTATCACAGAATGTATTAAGTACGAATATTAAGTACGTAGCAGAGCACAAAGAGAAACACGAATGTAAGAAACACTGTATGTATGACGTTTCCTATCTCGTTTTCTCCCATATTAAATCTTATTAATTTATGTGTCTGTCTCTTTTTACTGTCACTTTTTCGCTTCATCGACTTTCGAATCACAACGATGCTACCTTCTATCTTCTGCATCTCAACGATGCTATCTTCTCAGTGGGTCGCGTTTCCGATCCGGTGCTAGATTCTGCGAAGTACTACTCTTGCTAGGGCCAGTGTTAGCAATACTTCCGGTTTGAGCTTCGAGAGCTCACCTACACGATAGGATGAAGCTGAAATAGCCTCTCAAGGCTATCAGCATAGGTAGGAAAAAAAACGATGCTAAAGTTTCGACTTAAAAACATTTTTTTTTAATAATCGTCAAGAAACTATTATTATGAAAACAATCGTGACTCGTTCGTTTTGTATTCACGTGTAGTTCGAACTATTCATCAAGTCGGTCGTACTTAGACTTGTTAATGACAACTGTCGAATAATTTACGATTGTTAATTTCTGCTTTGGCATTTCACACGTTGTACTTAGATCATTAGCGAATGAATTACTGACGCAGTGCCTATCATTGTTTAGCCGTAATGGTTCATTGTTAACTATTTTAAGTAATTATTTTTGTTGAAAATACATACAGTATTCGTCGTGGCCTAGAGGATAAGACGTCCGGTGCATTTGTGTTGAAGCGATGCACCGGTGTTCGAATCCCGCAGGCGGGTACCAATTTTTCTAATGAAATACGTACTCAATAAATGTTCACGATTGACTTCCACGGTGAAGGAATAGCATCGTGTAATAAAAATCAAACCCGCAAAATTATAATTTGCGTAATTACTGGTGGTAGG